CACCTTCATTGGCACCTGATAAGACCCTCAGTAAGAGAGATAAGTCTCCTCACTTCCTTTCCTTTACTCAGGTAGGAAGATTGATTGAGTGGCAAGAATAAGGATCCAGAACTCCTGAGTCAGCCACCCTAGGGAATCACTGGCAGCTCTGCAGGCAAGGTCGCTGTCTCTGTTTCTACAGGTTATTGCCCCGGGCTAATGGAGCAAGTTAAGTTGATCACATAGAGTGCTTGGGTCTCATTTGGACCACAGGAGAAAGTACTGAGGTCATTTCAAGCACAACAGCCTCTGGAGGTCCAAATGATCGCCATTAAGCTAAGTTGGGTTCTCCGCTGTGATTTCAAAAAGAGCAATTATGCTTTCCCGTGCAATATGGTAGGGATTTCATGCTGGGACCTTTTAACAAGCGTTCTTCCCTCCAAAATCTTTGCAGATCATTAGTCTAGCACAAAAACTGGGTAAACAATCTCTTTTGTCCCTTCTTCCAAGCCTCGCAGCCAATATTACCACTAAAATAATTAGGAAAAGTAAACACAGGATAAAACATTGTAAGACAGAGAAAGAAAAGTGTCTGTGTACATGGCTGGCCCAAACCTGAACTAATTCTACTGCCCTTTCCCCCACCAGACATTTCTTGGGCATGCTGCTATTAGATATTTTGTATTTGCTTTTGTTTTTATTGTCCTTTGAATGATGTAATCCCTAGGCTACCAGGAAAGAGCTACTTCTGTCAAAGAAAGTTTAAATGCACATTTATTGAAACAGAGGAGAAAGTATAGCAGCCCTTTCCCACGCCCACTATGCACTTCTCTTGCCTATTCCAGGCCTGCCTTTTGAGAAAGATGTGGCCAGTTATGTGAGCAAAATGGGTATCTAGCAAAGAGAAGTCTCTTCAGGAAATCATGCTCTCAAATGTAACAGAAGCACTCAACCTCTATTACAAAAGGCTCCCGGGAAGGGATGCTTCTTTGCATTTATGCTACACATAAAATCTGGGTGTTTTTCTCAGTTCTAACCCATACTCCATTACACACTTTAATGAACTATCTTAAAATTCTCAAGCGAAGCCTTAAGATAAAGGGCTCCTGATTGTATTTATTCAGCTTCAAAATTCTTTAGTTGTTGACATCACTGAGACATGTTTGCTTCCTTTACTGAGGGATAATTTTAACATCTAAAGATTTGTTAATGCAACTATAGTCTAGAAGTAAGTAACAGACACTCTTCTGCCTAACTGGAGAGGCAGCATCTCGGTGGAGAAAACACTGTATGTGTGCCTCTGGCAAAGTCATTTCACCTCTTGCAAAGTGTGACTATTAGATATGGAGATGTCTGTGATTGCTTTCCACTGCAACTTTAAATATGTTTTATGATTCTAAATAGATTTTTTTTTAGTGTAATCATCCAGTGGATAATAGAGACATCTGGTTGACTTTTTTGATTGTCTACTTTCAGTGCAATTGAAAACCTAATTCTGAGCTCAATGGCTGCAGAGAGATGCTCTGCAAGTATGAGATAGAACGCTGGAGAGTTAAGAGAGATGACTATTTAAAGAGAGCTCTTTCTAGAGACCCAAGAATCCACAGTTCTGCATTCTATTTGTGAAATCACTGCCCATTATCAATCAACAAGATAGCCGCCCCAGACCTTTTAAATGAAGGAGTGCAATAACAGCTTGTGTTATTTTAGATAAAAAACATTGCCTTTTGCCACAATAACCACTTACATAGAAAGAGGTGCCTGGTAGTCTGCGCAAATATGACCTGGCTACTTTTTATGACTTTCCCTCAAGTTCAATCCGCTTGATCTTTTATTAATACTTCTATTTTAAACATCTGGCTAGTCTTCCCAGATGTTTAAAGTATCCCTGGCCACTACCTACTAGTTGCTCAAGATTTTCCCCATCTCAAATGTGACACCCCAAAATGTCTCCAGACAGTGCCACATGTCCCTGCAGGCAAAATCACTCAGGGTTGAGAACCACTAGTCTATGCTTTATCTTTTCCTAATTCTGAATTTTCTTTCTTAAGTATAAGACCAAGTGCTCAGAAATTATTACTCTATTGTTGTTGTTATTATTCTGAACATTACTAACATCTTTCATTTATGTAGGATTTCACAATTTACCAAGTGTTTCCACCCACATTATCTGTGGAGATTAATGCATAACAGCTCTTTGTCTACAATAAATTGGAAGAGAGAAGCAACTTTGCTGTGAAAAGTCCCAGTCTGCCTTTTTACTGTGTGTGGAGTCCTGAATATTTAACAAAAGAGGTCTTGCCATGAGAAAGATGGATTTAGGACAAGTCAGGTATGATGTAAATGAAAACTGGCCCAGTCTTTTCAAGAGACATTAAAAAAGGACAGAGATTTAATCACCTTGAAATGATATCTTTTTCCTCTCATCTTCTGCTGGCAGGATCTATATACCACCCAATACACATGCAGAAACACACGTCTACAACTAAACACCAACGGATGGCCTCAATGAAGCCACATGAACTCCCTGAACCCTTGGCTCTTTAAAAGGGGTCTGAACATTGTAATCGTTAGCCTAAACTGGACTGCCGCCATTTTGGCACTCTGCACAAAGTGAAAACCAGAAGGCATTTTTGAGAAAGAGAAAATAGCATTTCCCCTGCACTTCCACCTCCTCCCCAGCCCTCTTACCTGCTTAAGGATTTCAGCGGCTGTTTCATGTGAACAATCAAATATCACATAGAACTCCTTGCCCTTCTTCATCTCCTTGAGTAAAGGCTTGGCATCTTTATTCCCAGAGGGCAGCTGGCGGATTTTGATTTTAATGTTATATCTGGAGGGAGCTTTGATGAGCTCTTGCAGACGAATTAGACCTAGAAAATGACATCCAATCATGCAACAGATACTGTTCTGTAGAAAGACTATTGTTTATTGCCATTTACAGTCAAACTCATATTATCCCCAAAATGTATCAAGTGGCCACATTCTTAAAGGTTACACTATTGACTTCCCATTTGTCATTCCTCTTTCTGTGGTGGATTATACTATTTTCCCTTTGTGGGTATATGTGGCTTGGAAGCACAATTTTCCCAAGAGCACATTACATTTATTTAGAATGCAATCATTCTCTCCAGCTTTCAGCCACCACCTCGAATCTTTAACAAATCAAATCTGCAACTGTAAAACTTTTGTGAATAAAAAGTTGCTTGAAGTTTCCAAAAGTATCCAGTGAAATAGATAACAGTTGCTCACTTAAAAAGCTGATAGAATACGAAGTTTTCCC